GGAAAAACAACCAGGTTAGAGAGGGAGAGAGAGAGAGAGAGAAGGCAGGAAGGAAGGAAGAAAGAGAGGGAAGGAGGGAGGGAGGGGTAGGGGAGGGAGGGAAGGAGGGAAGGAAGGGAGGGAGGGAGGGAGGGAGGGAGGAAGGAAGGAAGGAAGGAAGGAAGGAAGGAAGGAAGGAAGGAAGAAGGGAGGGAGGGAAGGGGAGGGAGGGAGGGAGGGAGGGAGGAAGGAAGGAAGGAGGGAGGGAGGGAGGGAGGGAGGGAGGGAAGGAAGGAAGGAAGGAAGGAAGGAAGGAAGGAAGGAAAGGAGGGAGGGAGGGAGGGAGGGAGGAAGGAAGGAAGGAAGGAAGGAAGGAAGGAAGGAAGGAAGAAGGGAGGGAGGGAGGGAGGGAGGGAAGGAGGGAAGGAAGGAAAGAAGGGAGGGAGGGAGGGAGGGAGGGAGGGAAGGGAGGGAGGGAGGGAGGGAGGGAGGGTCCATACACAGGAAGGGCTGGGTGCTAAGTGCCTACAGCCTGTCCCTCTAAGGCAGGCCCGGCTGATGGGTTATGTCCAGGCTAGGAAAGTCCACGGGCAATGGGGACATATCCGAGGGTTTCCGGTTCCTGGGGAGTGTGAGCAGGGGGGAAGCCGAGATTCAGGGGAGTGAGAAAGGTCGCAGGGCTGGGGTGGGGACCAGTGAAATCTCTTGACAGGCACGCGCCTCTCCTGACGAACGCTGAGCTGTGCGGACACAAGCGTTTTAAACCCCGTCCAGGGCTGGTAACGGGGTCAGAGCCGGCCTGCCCGGCCCGGCGTGGGTCGGGCGGCCAGGGCTGGGGTCTGCTGGCCAACCGCATCCATTCCAGAACGGATGGAGCCTCTAAAATCTACGGTTGCCATGGCAAAACGCGACCTCCCAAGGGGCCCTCGGGAAGGGTCCCCCACCCACTCCGCAAGAGACGTTGGGCTTCGGGCAAAAGTCACGTTTCGCGGGTTTCTCTCCGCCACTTGAATCTCTCAACTACTGGCACGCGTGTAAGTACTTCGGCCCTCCATACCCAGACCTGGGTTCGAGGCCTGTCTTCCTTCCCGTCTCCGTCGCGGGGCTGCTCACAGAAAGAACCGGGGCACTGGGGAATCCACTTCACCAGACGGTCTGTCGTAATGTCACTCTGCAAACCTCCCAGTCAGCCCGTTTCTTTCTGGACCTTTGCATCTGCCTAGCTGGTCACTCTCTCCGGCAAGCAGGCACCTGGCACGCGCACTTCAAGTCGTGACCATCGAAACCAAGCGCACATCGGTACTCGCCAATGTGGCCTCACCCGCCTGCATAAAAATATCTCATTTTTCAGGGGTGGGCGGTTACTGAAAAATCTCATGGATGGGGGTGAAGGGATAGAAACTTTTGCTTTTGCTTTTTGGGTCCCACCCGGCGATGCCCAGGGGTTCCTTCTGGCTCTGCACTCAGGAATCACTCCTGGTGGGGCTCAGGGGGACCCTATGGGATGCTGGGGATCGAACCTGGGTGGGCTGCTTGCAAGGCAAACGCCCTACCTGCTGTGCTATTGCTCTGGCCCCAGAAACTTTTTTTTTAATTGATCACCATGAGTTACAATTACAAAACGCTCACGTTTGTGTGTCCGTCATAAAATGATGGAACACCCAACCCTCCACCAGTGCCCATTCTCCACCACCAATGTCCCCAGAGTACCCCCCCTTTCCCACCCTCCCCTGCCTCCATGGCAGACAATCTCCCCTACAGACAATCTCTCTCTACTCTGGGGCATCGTGGTTTGCAATCCAGATACTGAGGGGCCATCACGTTGGGTCCTTTATCTTTATTTCAGCACACTTCTCCCATTCTGAGTGATCCCCCCAACCATCACTGACTTGGTGCTTCCTTCTCGGATAGAAGCATTTTGGCGGTACTGTGTGGGTGCGTCAATAGTTAATCCCTAAAACATCCAAACGTTCCCACACAAAGACAGACCAGCGAGCAAATATTGCACAGCGGAGAAAGTTCTGGCTTTGACCTATAATGGATTCAGAAAGGTCCTTAACCCTGCGAGAAACGGGACCAGGAGGGGGGGCTCTTGCCTTGCATGCAGCTGACTCAGATGTGATCCCTGGGACTCTATCTGTTCCCCCTGAACCGCACCAGGAGTGAGCCCTGAGCGCAGAGCCAGGAGTGAGTCCTGAGCACAGAGCCAGGAGTGAGCCCTGAGCACAGAGCCAGGAGTCAGCCCTGAGCACAGAGCCAGGAGTCAGCCCTGAGCACAGAGCCAGGAGTGAGCCCTGAGCACAGAGCCAGGAGTCAGCCCTGAGCACAGAGCCAAGAGTGAGCCCTGAGCACAGAGCCGGGAGTCAGCCCTGAGCACAGAGCCGGGAGTCAGCCCTGAGCACAGAGCTGGGAGTCAGTCCTGAGCACAGAGCCAGGAGTCAGTCCTGAGCACAGAGCCAGGAGTCAGCCCTGAGCACAGAGCCAGGAGTCAGTCCTGAGCACAGAGCCAGAAGTGAGCCCTGAGCACTGCCAACGTGGCCCATAACCCAGAAGAAGAATTCTGAAGAGCAAACTTTAAAAAAAAAAAAACCTCTAATTTCAGGGGCTGGAGGAGTCCCAAAACTAGGATTTTTCAGCGGGGAGGGCGTTTGCCTTCCACACAGCCGACCCGGGTTCGATTCCCAGCATCCCATAGGGTCCCCCGAGCACCGCCAGGAGTGATTTCTGAGTGCATGAGCCAGGAGTCAGCCCTGAGCATCGCCGGGTGGGACCCATAAAGAAAAAAAAAAATCCTAGTTTTCTGTACATTTTGTAATATCATTTACTACAACTGTTGGTTTAGATTTTTCCAGTGAAGACAGTGGTGTCTGGCCAGGAGCACGGCAGAGATTACAGAGCGTGGAGGCTTTTGGCTGCCGGGGCTCTGTGTGGGTGGGCACTGGGTTCACCTGCTCCCTCTCCGGGTGCCCCAGATGGCTCAGCCTTGCGCGAGGTCCGGAAGAATGTCTGCGAATTGTTGGTCTCTTTTGAGATTTATTTAGGAGTCTCTGAAAATAACCACCTCACCAATGTCCGGTCGCACCAGAATGCATAAAATATTTCATTTTCAGGGCTGGGGGGTTCACCTTGAAGGGCCAATTTTTGATCCTGCACGGTCTGTGATAGAGTGTCCCGGCCTTGTGGTCATTTCTTATAGAGCATAGAAAAATGATTTGGTGTATGTGACTTCACGGTGATCACGGTGATCACGGTCCTCCCGTTGTTCATCGATTTGCTCGAGCGGGCCCAGTAACGTCTCCATGGTGAGACTTGTTGTTACTGTGTTTGGCATATCGAATACACCACGGGGAGCTTGCCAGGCTCTGCCGTGCGAGTGGGATACTCTCGGTAGCTTGCCGGGCTCTCCGAGAGGGGCGGAGGAATCGAACCTGGGTCGGCTACGTTGGCCGCTTGTAAGGCAAACGCCCTACCGCTGTGCTATCGCGGGCCAGAGTGATTGCACAGCGCGTAGGGCATTTGCCTTGCACGCCGCCGACCCGGGTTCGATTCCTATGTGACTTGGGAGTGACAAAATAGTTCATGAAAAGCAAAGCAAAGGAATTGTGTGTCGTTTCTGGTTCTGTGCTAACCCAAAGTGCTCTGTTGCAGCATTAGTCGTAGAAGACTATAATTTTCTTGTCACTGCATTCAAGAATCATAGAGCCTTTATGTCGCTGGGACAGCCTCAAGACAAAAGTAAGTGATATACGTATATGTCCCTGAGAGAGCTCTGACATATCAATCTCTATCCGCAAAAAGTAAAGTAAAGGCCCTCCCGTTGATCGTCGATTTGCTCGAGCGGGCCCAGTAACGTCTCCATTGGAGACTTTGTTGTTACTGTGTCTGGCATATCGAATACTCTCGGTAGCTTGCCGGGCTCTCCGAGAGGGGCGGAGGAATCGAACTCGGGTCGGCCATGTTGGCTGCGTGCAAGGCAGATGCCCTACCCGCTGTGCTATCGCTCCAGCCCTATCTCTATCCATGAAAAACAAAAAGTTCCAATACCTGAGGCTGGAGCGATGGCACAGCAGGGAGGGTGTTTGCCTTGCACGCAGCCAACCTGGGTTCGATTCCCAGCATCCCATAGGGTTCCCCAAGCACCGCCAGGAGTGATTCCTGACTGCAGAGCCAGGAGGAACCCCTGAGCATCGCTGGGTGTGACCCCCCCAAAAAAAGTTCCAATACCTAAAAAACATCTATTCCTAAGGCATCACTATATGTTAATGGAAAATATCTGGAAAAATCCCAGAATTAACAAAAAGTACAAATACCCTCTGATCAGAATATAATAATGCGTCTATAAGACAAATCTACCATTGGCAATTGGCACTATTTAATTTTAAATCATTTTGGAGCAATTAATATAGAAATCAGAGAATATTGGTAACATATTACATCAGGACTTACAGTATGTAGCCAACGAGAAGCCCCAGTAAAAATTCATAGTCTTAACGACTTAGAATAAACCAGAAAGAATGAAAGTAAGTGTGTCAGAAGTCCCAAAGAAGGTTCTAGATTTAAAAAAAAAAAAAGTGAATCTAAGGAAAATAGAAAAAAAAATAAAAAGGCTTACAGGAAGATGAAATTGAATTCCTGAATTTGATTAAAAAAATAATAATCGTATAGGATGGATGAATAGATTCTGAAGCTGGGGCTCCCTCGTTATGAATCAAGACACTGCACTTGGGTGGAATTTCCCCTCCAATTCTGTATTTCCTGTCTAATCAACAGAAAAGCACCAGAGTAAGTTGAAGGACAGGCTATAAAACACTTGCCCAAAACTCTGCAAAAAAAAAAAAAAATTGCTAAGATGGTGAACGGGAAAAAGATTGCAAACTCCTGCCAGGAGCCAAGATGATAGCGTGGCCCTTTGGGCTTTGGGGTGGATTCTAGAACAGGAAGAGACATTGGTGGGGGGTGGACCAGAGAAATTCAAATTCAAATGCTGACGGTTTGGTCAATGAAACTGCACCCACGCTAAGATGGCGCTTTTGACAACTGTCGGCAGCTTTGTGAGACGTTAACATGGGGGGGGGGGCCCAGGGGGACACGGGACTTATCACCCCGACTTTCCTGAAAGTCTAAAGAAAAAAATGATTCTAGATCAAAGGAGAAAAAGCTTGAAGAAAATAAGGGCAGGGCGGCAGAGACAGGATGTGGGTGAGCCCTCGCCTGGCACCCAGCTGAGCCCAGGTCCACTGCCAGCACCTCTTCCGGCCCCCCAGAGCCCCACCAGGGCTCACCCTGAGCGCAGAGCCGGGACTGTCCCCGAGCACGGCTGGGGGAGTCTCCCCACGCCCTGAAAAAAAGAACCGTAGTGCAGAGTAGAATTTAAAGGTTTGCTTCCGGTCATATCGGCTTCCTTCCTGGAAAAGCAAACCCGTGTGGAGAAGGAGAAGGGGGGGTTCGCTCGCCCCTGGGGAGCTCAAGAAACAGCCCCCCCGGGTGGGTGGGGGGCGCGGTCCAGATCCTCCGGGGCTGGCGCTCTAGTGGCCCCTCAGTGGGGCTCTCCCTGCAGGGCGCTGGGGCATGTCACAGTGACTGTCTGAGATGTGTGTGCACTCAGCCACCCCCCTCCACACACACACACACACAAACACACACACGTACATACCACACACCACACACACACGCACACACATACACACATGCACACACCCATGCACACAGCACACACATGTGCACACATGCACACACAGACACACAAATGCACATACCACACACCAAACACATGCACACACAAACACATGCACACACATATACACACCACACACATGCATGCACAGACACCATGCACACACATGCACATACCACACACACCACAGGTGCACCCATGCACCCAGGCACACATGCACACACCACACGCGTGCACGTGCACACGTGCTACATACATCCACACACATGCACAAACGCACACATACACACATGTATACCCACATATGCGCACACGTACACACACGTACACACCACACATATAGATGTGCACACTCATCACATACACACATGCGTACACACAGCACACATACACATGTGCACACGCACCACATACACACATGCACACATGCACACATGTGCGTGTACACACACCACACTTGCACACGTGCACACATGTACACTCACGCACACACACATGCACACACACACACATACACGCACACTCCCAGGGGAGGTGGCGCCCTCTGACCCGTGTCTTCCTTCTCTCACCCAGACCCGGACCACCAGCAGCAGCGGATGAGTGTCAGATGGCGGCAGATAGTGAGTCCCTCACGCCCAGGGGTCCCGGAGAGGGCGACAGCGCCCCCTGCCGGCGGTCCTGACCCATCCAGATACCAGATTGATGCTTCCCCAGAGGAGACGGGAAGCCCGTGTGCCGCTTCCAGGACAGAAATGCAAAGCCCGGGCAGGAGAGACAGCACGGCGGGGAGGGCGTGTCTTGCACACACACACACACACACACACACACACACACACACCATGCCACACACGCCACAGACACACGTCACAGACACACACCACCACTCACACATCACAGACACAACACACACAACACACACACCACAAAAACACACCATACATACACCACACACACACACAGACACACCCCACACAAACACATGGCCGACCCGGGTTGGATCCCCAGCACCCCTTAGGGTCCACAGAGCCCCACCAGGAGTGAGCCCTGAGCACAGGGCCAGGAGTGCCCCCACAAAAGGAAAAAAGTAAACAGATTTAACTGAGATGCCTGTGGGGGTGTCAGCGACCTCCGTGCAGTTCCCTGGTCCCTCGGCGAGAACTGCGCCTCCCCCAGCTGCGGCTGATGCGTCTCCGTGGCTCCCTCAGATGCAGAAGGGAGGCCGCCTGTGGGAAGCTTACTCCAACCTCCTCAACACTCAAGCCGCGGTCATGGCCTTGAACTCCAGGTAGGAGACGCGCCTGCTCTTCCTCCACCGACCCTCGCGCTCGAGAAACGCAACCAGGTTTCTGAAAAAGTAAATCCTGCTTGCAAAATTTTGTTTTTCCATGTCTGTGTGCGGGCTGGTCCAGATTCCGCAACTGTCATTTCTTCCTTGGGGTCTTTCTCAACCCACCGCCAGGAAATGCAGGGATGGTTGAGCCAGAAGCCGGGCTGTGCCCACAGCTGTCTTGCTGCAGTTCCTCCTGGCGTTTCATCTATTCTGTACGACCCGATTTTCACTCGGCTCTGCCCCCCAACCAGGATGTTCTTTTTCCATTAGAAGATAATGCGGTGACCGAAATTATCACTGGCTTTCTGCTCCCACTTTCTCTTCTGTTCAAAATCTTTACTTTGACTGATCTGGACGCAGCTTGGTGGTAAAGCACCCAGTGGGCGTGAGGTATTGAGTTCGATCCCCCGGACCACCCACATGCCAAAGTACAGTCCTGCCAGGTTGGCGTCTGGGGCCCTCAGTACCACAATAAACTGTGTGAGCTCCAGCATCACAACCAACACCACCCCCAACACACACACACACACACACACACACACACACACACACACACACACACAGAGTCATCTGAATAATGACAACAACGGAGGGTGGTTGAAAAAAAGTAAATAGATTTAACTGAGATGCCTGTGGGGGTGTCAGCGACCTCCATGCGTTCCCTGGTCCCCTCGCATTTTACAACGTAAACTCACCTTTCGAGCCTTTCCCTTCCTGGATTATACTTCAGTTCTCAGAAGTTTTAAGCTGGATGCTTAATTTTGGTTTCCCTCTGGATTTTTTTAAAAAACGGTTTTTATTTATTTATTTATTTTTGCTTTTTGGGTCACACCTGGTGATGCTCAGGGGTTCCTCCTGGCTCTGCAACTCAGGAATCACTCCTGGCGGTGCTCAGAGGAACCTACATCCTACCTCCTGTAGGATGCAGGGATCGAACCCAGGTTGGCCGCGTGCAGAGCAAACGTTCTACTCACTGTCCTCTCTTTCCAGCCCTGGAATTTTTTTTTTAATGAGAAAAAGTTTGAATGTGTTCGAGCTTGAATTTTAAAGCAGAACCTCACTGAGATTAGAGAATAAAATGGAATCTTTTCGATTGGGGGGCGGACGGGGAGAGCTTTCTACCGTGCAATTCTGTTCTTTTTCTATTTGCATTGACGTTACGGGGCATTGTAACAGCAGGAGGCATCGGGGGACCTGCCAGCCAGTGCTTGGGTGGGCTGTCAAGGACAGGAGTCACTTAACAGCTGTTCTCTAGGGGTGGCAGGAGAGAGAGAGGGGAGAGAGAGAGAGAGAGAGAGAGAGGGAGAGAGAGGGAGAGAGGGAGGGAGAGAGAGAGGGAGGGAAAGAGAGAGTGAGAGAGAAAGAGGGAGAGGGAGAGGGAGAGAGAGGGAGAGAGGGAGGGAAAGAGAGAGTGAGAGAGAGAGGGAGAGAAGGAGAAAGAGGGAGAGAGGGAGGGAGAGAGGGAGGGAAAGAGAGAGTGAGAGAGAGTGAGAGAGAGAGAGGGAGAGAGGGAGAGAGAGGGAGAGGGAGAGAGATGGAGAGAGATGGAGAGAGAGAGAGGGAGAGACAGAGGGAGAGACAGAGGGAGAGAGAGGGATAGAGGGAGGGAGAGAGAGAGGGAGGGAAAGAGAGAGTGAGAGAGAAAGAGGGAGAGGGAGAGGGAGAGACAGAGGGAGAGAGAGGGAGAGAGGGAGGGAGAGAGGGAGGGAAAGAGAGAGTGAGAGAGAGAGGGAGAGAGGGAGAAAGAGGGAGAGAGGGAGAGAGAGGGAGAGAGAGGGAGAGAGTGAGAGAGAGTGAGAGAGAGAGGGAGAGAGGGAGAGAGAGGGAGAGAGAGAGGGAGAAAGAGGGAGAGAGGGAAAGAGGGAGGGAGGGAGGGAGGGAGGGAACTTCGAGCAGGGCTGCCCTGGCCATGGCCACTCCCCTCCCCAGCTTCGAGGACCCCTTCTATCAGTACGAGCAGCAGGTGAAGCTCCTGGAATCTTCCTTCCGAGACATCTTCGTCAAGTCCAATCTGAAGGTGACAGAGACCATGGCCACCAAGGAGGACAAGGAGGACATGGAGGTGAGGGAACCCCGTGGGCCCCGCTGGCCCCCACGTCCCCCTGTCTCCCCGGGTCTGGCCCTGACCGTCCCTGCAGTCACCCGCCAGCCACAGGAGAGCCAACGCCCAACCCCATGCAGAGGCGGGAGAGGACGGGATGGGACGCGCCCTGTGGACCCTCTCCCGGACCCGGACCCCTCCCGGGCATCCGCAGCTCCTCTCTCGAGAACTCCAGGCACAGAGGACAGTCAGAGGGACCGTCCTCCTTCCAAGGGGTGGGGACACAGCAGAGGTGTAGCCTGCACGTCTTTTTTTTCCCTTTTGCAGATTTTGTATGGGACGATTCTCAACATCTTTGAGGACATACTTCTGATCCTAGTGTCGAAGGACCTCTACAAGCTGCAGATCCTGAAGGTGGAGAGAGGAGAGAGAGAGGGAGAGAGGGAGGGGGAGAGGGAGGGAGAGACGGGGGAGAAAGGGAGGAGGGAGAGGGAGAGAGAGAGGGGGAGCGGGAGGGAGAGACAGGGGGAGAAAGGGAGGAGGGAGAGGGAGAGAGAGGGAGAGTGAGAGAGACAGAGAGAGGGAGAGAGAGGGAGAGAAAGGAAGAGAGGGAGGGAGAGGGAGGGAGAGACAGGGGGAGAAAGGGAGGAGGGAGAGGGAGAGAGAGGGAGAGAGAGGGGGGAGAGGGAGGGAGAGACGGGGGAGAAAGGGAGGAGGGAGAGGGAGAGAGAGAGGGGGAGAGGGAGGGAGAGACAGGGGGAGAAAGGGAGGAGGGAGAGGGAGAGAGAGGGAGAGTGAGAGAGACAGAGAGAGGGAGAGAGAGGGAGAGAAAGGAAGAGAGGGAAGGAGAGAGGGAGGGAGAGAGGGAGGGAGAGACGGAGGGAGAAAGGGAGGAGGGAGAGGGAGAGAGAGAGGGGAGAGGGAGGGAGAGACAGAGGGAGAAAGGGAGGAGAGAGAGGGAGAGAGAGAGGGGGAGAGGGAGGGAGAGACAGGGGGAGAAAGGGAGGAGGGAGAGGGAGAGAGAGGGAGAGAGAGAGGGGGAGAGGGAGGGAGAGACAGAGGGAGAAAGGGAGGAGGGAGAGGGAGAGAGAGGGGGAGAGGGAGGGAGAGACGGAGGGAGAAAGGGAGGAGGGAGAGGGAGAGAGAGGGAGAGTGAGAGGGGGAGAGGGAGGGAGAGACAGAGGGAGAAAGGGAGGAGGGAGAGGGAGAGAGAGGGGGAGAGGGAGGGAGAGACAGGGGGAGAAAGGGAGGAGGGAGAGGGAGAGAGAGGGAGAGTGAGAGAGACAGAGAGAGGGAGAGAGAGGGAGAGAAAGGAAGAGAGGGAAGGAGAGAGGGAGGGAGAGAGGGAGGGAGAGACGGAGGGAGAAAGGGAGGAGGGAGAGGGAGAGAGAGGGAGAGAGAGAGGGGGAGAGGGAGGGAGAGACAGAGGGAGAAAGGGAGGAGGGAGAGGGAGAGAGAGGGGGAGAGGGAGGGAGAGACGGAGGGAGAAAGGGAGGAGGGAGAGGGAGAGAGAGGGAGAGAGAGAGGGGGAGAGGGAGGGAGAGACAGAGGGAGAAAGGGAGGAGGGAGAGGGAGAGAGAGGGGGAGAGGGAGGGAGAGACGGAGGGAGAAAGGGAGGAGGGAGAGGGAGAGAGAGGGAGAGTGAGAGGGGGAGAGGGAGGGAGAGACAGAGGGAGAAAGGGAGGAGGGAGAGGGAGAGAGAGGGGGAGAGGGAGGGAGAGACAGGGGGAGAAAGGGAGGAGGGAGAGGGAGAGAGAGGGAGAGAGAGAGGGGGAGAGGGAGGGAGAGACAGAGGGAGAAAGGGAGGAGGGAGAGGGAGAGAGAGGGGGAGAGGGAGGGAGAGACGGAGGGAGAAAGGGAGGAGGGAGAGGGAGAGAGAGGGAGAGAGAGAGGGGGAGAGGGAGGGAGAGACAGAGGGAGAAAGGGAGGAGGGAGAGGGAGAGAGAGGGGGAGAGGGAGGGAGAGACGGAGGGAGAAAGGGAGGAGGGAGAGGGAGAGAGAGGGAGAGAGAGAGGGGGAGAGGGAGGGAGAGACAGAGGGAGAAAGGGAGGAGGGAGAGGGAGAGAGAGGGGGAGAGGGAGGGAGAGACGGAGGGAGAAAGGGAGGAGGGAGAGGGAGAGAGAGGGAGAGTGAGAGAGACAGAGAGAGGGAGAGAGAGGGAGAGAAAGGAAGAGAGGGAGGGAGAGGGAAGGAGAGAGGGAGGGAGAGACGAAGGGAGAAAGGGAGGAGGGAGAGGGAGAGAGAGAGGGGGAGAGGGAGGGAGAGACGGAGGGAGAAAGGGAGGAGAGAGGGGGAGAGAGAGAGGGGGAGAGGGAGGGAGAGACAGGGGGAGAAAGGGAGGAGGGAGAGGGAGAGAGAGGGAGAGAGAGAGGGGGAGAGGGAGGGAGAGACAGAGGGAGAAAGGGAGGAGGGAGAGGGAGAGAGAGAGGGAAAGTGAGAGAGACAGAGAGAGGGAGAGAGAGGGAGAGAAAGGAAGAGAGGGAGGGAGAGGGAAGGAGAGAGGGAGGGAGAGACGAAGGGAGAAAGGGAGGAGGGAGAGGGAGAGAGAGAGGGGGAGAGGGAGGGAGAGACGGAGGGAGAAAGGGAGGAGAGAGGGGGAGAGAGAGAGGGGGAGAGGGAGGGAGAGACAGGGGGAGAAAGGGAGGAGGGAGAGGGAGAGAGAGGGAGAGAGAGAGGGGGAGAGGGAGGGAGAGACAGAGGGAGAAAGGGAGGAGGGAGAGGGAGAGAGAGGGGGAGAGGGAGGGAGAGACGGAGGGAGAAAGGGAGGAGGGAGAGGGAGAGAGAGGGAGAGTGAGAGAGACAGAGAGAGGGAGAGAGAGGGAGAGAAAGGAAGAGAGGGAGGGAGAGGGAGGGAGAGACAGGGGGAGAAAGGGAGGAGGGAGAGGGAGAGAGAGAGGGAAAGTGAGAGAGACAGAGAGAGGGAGAGAGAGGGAGAGAAAGGAAGAGAGGGAGGGAGAGGGAAGGAGAGAGGGAGGGAGAGACGAAGGGAGAAAGGGAGGAGGGAGAGGGAGAGAGAGAGGGGGAGAGGGAGGGAGAGATGGAGGGAGAAAGGGAGGAGGGAGAGGGAGAGAGAGGGAGAGTGAGAGAGACAGAGAGAGGGAGAGAGGGAGGGAGAGAGGGAGGGAGAGACCATTCCTGCTAATGAGCCAGGAGCCTGCATGACCTCCTCTGGGCTCTGAAAGGTCCCTCCTGGCCACAGTCCCTCCCGCTGGCCACAGCAATGCCCCCCACGCTCTGGGCGTCACAAGGGTTTTCTTTGCCAGCCCAGATGGGCGAAGGCGCCCCCAAGGGAAGCCTGCGGCCCTTCGCGGGGACGACAGAGCCAGACTGTCCATGTGGGCAGGCCGGGCAAGAAGAGAACTGGGAGGAGGCAAAAGCCAGCCATGCGGCAGGGGGCCGGAAAGGTGGTGCAGTGGTTAGGGGCCCCGTGGGATTCCCAACCCCACCGGGTCCTCCGAGCAGGGCTGGGGGCAGCTCTGGAGGTTCCTGAGCCCTTGCGGTGGTGGCCCACAGGATGGGGGGAGCAGAGAGGAGTGGGGGGCAGGCAGGGTGGGGGGTGGGGGGCGTGGCAGGCTCTGTGGGGACAGTCTGGCTCTCCCCAGGAAATGATCCTCTGGATGTCCAGGGATGACAGCTCCCAGAAGGAGGATCCCATGGCCATCATCAGCAGGGTCCTCAACTTCGCCTCCAAGAAGGTCGTAGGTCAAGTGAGTCTCCCCCCCCCCCCACCCCACCCGGGGCCACCCTTGCTGGGGGTTCGGGTATGTTCGTGGGTTTTTTTTTTTGCTCTTTTGGGTCACACCCGGCGATACACAGGGGTTACTCCTGGCTCTGCACTCAGGGATCACTCCTGGCGGTGCTCGGGGGACCCTATGGGATGCTGGGAATCGAACCCAGGTCGGCCATGCCCTACCCACTGAGCTATCACTCCAGCCCCGACCATGAGCTTTTTTTATTTTGTTTGCTTTTTGGGTCCCACCCAGTGATGCTCAGGGGTCCCTCCTGGCTCTGCACTCAGGAATCACTCCTGGCAGTTCTTGGGGGACCATATGGGATGCTGGGGTTCGAACCCGGGTCAGCCACGTGCAAGGCAAACACCCTGGCCGCTGTGCTATTGCTCCAGCCCCCGTTCGCGGGTTTCTGTGGAGCCGTTGACCCCACTACTCCTGGGGGGCTGCCCGCTGCCCACGCGCGTCCACTCCCGCCACCACGGGCCACTGTCCCGGTTCTTCCTCTCCCTGGTCACCGCCTTTCTCGAGACGACACTTGGGAAGTCCCTCCTTCCGCACACGCAGCCCCAACACCCAAAAGGGTCCACTGGACACCCCCAGGGGCAGCAGGAGGCGTTGGCCACGGCTGAGGACTGAGGAGGGGCTGGTCTGTCCAGGGAGCCTGAGAGAGCACAGCGGCGGGCAGCGGCCAACCCGGGTTCGATCCCCGGCCTCCCATAGGGTCTCCCGAGCACCGCCAGGAGTGATTCCTGAGTGCAGAGCCAGGAGTCAGCCCTGAGCATCGCCGGGTGTGGCCTCCCAAACAAACCCCAAAAAATAGCATTGCTGGGGGCAGGGCGGGGAGAAATAGTACAGAAGATTTTGTTTTCCAGGTGGCTGGTCGGGGCTCAGTATCTGGCATGGTATAGATTCCCTGAGCACTGTCGGGAGTGAGTCAGCGCTGAGTAGGAAATCAAGAGCGATCCCTAAGCACAGAGCCGGGAGTGAGCCCTGAGCACAGAGCCGGGAGTCAGCCCTGAGCACAGAGCCAGGAGTCAGATCTGAGCACAGAGCCGGGAGTGAGCCCTGAGCACAGAGCCGGGAGTCAGTCCTGAGCACAGAGCCGGGAGTCAGCCCTGAGCACAGAGCTGGGAGTCAGCCCTGAACACAGAGCCAGGAGTGAGTCCTGAGCACAGAGCCGGGAGTCAGCCCTGAGCACAGAGCTGGGAGTCAGCCCTGAGCACAGAGCTGGGAGTCAGCCCTGAGCACAGAGCCAGGAGTGAGCCCTGAGCACAGAGCCGGGAGTCAGCCCTGAGCACAGAGCCAGGAGTCAGCCCTGAGTACTGAGCCAGGAGTCAGCCCTGAGCACAGAGCCGGGAGTCAGCCCTGAGCACAGAGCCAGGAGTCAGCCCTGAGCACAGAGCTGGGAGTCAGCCCTGAGCACAGAGCCGGGAGTCATCCCTGAGCACAGAGCCAGGAGTGAGCCCTGAGCACAGAGCCGGGAGTGAGCCCTGAGCACAGAGCCGGGAGTGAGCCCTGAGCACAGAGCCAGGAGTGAGCCCTGAGCACAGAGCTGGGAGTCAGTCCTGAGCACAGAGCCGGGAGTCAGCCCTGAGCACAGAGCTGGGAGTCAGCCCTGAACACAGAGCCAGGAGTGAGTCCTGAGCACAGAGCCGGGAGTCAGCCCTGAGCACAGAGCCAGGAGTCAGCCCTGAGTACTGAGCCAGGAGTCAGCCCTGAGCACAGAGTTAGGAGTCAGCCCTGAGCACAGAGCTGGGAGTGATCCCTGAGCACAGAGCCAGGAGTCAACCCTGAGCACAGAGCTGGGAGTCAGCCCCAAGCACAGAGCCAGGAGTGATCCCTGAGCACAGAGCCAGGAGTCAGCCCCGAGCACAGAGCCAGGAGTCAACCCTGAGCACAGAGCTGGAAGTCAGCCCCAAGCACAGAGCCAGGAGTGATCCCTGAGCACAGAGCTGGGAGTCAGCCCCAAGCACAGAGCCAGGAGTGATCCCTGAGCACAGAGCCAGGAGTCAGCCCTGAGCACAGAGCCGGGAGTCAGCCCCGAGCACAGAGCCGGGACAGGGGCATATATCAGAGCAATGACTCTCTGTGCACTGGACCCTCCCTACAGATGCTGCCCACTTGGTCCCCGGGCACAGAGGACAGGGACGCCCTCCGCAGGGTCCAGCCCCAGAGCCCGGGTTCGAGCCCAGCGTCTGCAGTCCCTGATGCAGACCTCTAACCTGCTAACCCCACCCGCCTTCCCCCAGACCACCATCGACGCCCCCTGTCTGGGGGTCCTGGCAGCTGAGCTGTCACTGCTGGGCTTCCACTCGAACGTGATGGTGACCCAGCAGGCGTCTCTCGGGCTCTACCACCTGCTTTGCATCGGCAAGTGCCACACCGGTGAGGACCAGGCCAGGCGCCAGCCCGCGGGAGGCAGGAGACGCCCCTGCCCCCTCCCTCCCTCCCTCTCTCTTCCTCTCCCTCCCTCCCTCTCTCTTTCTCTTTCTCCCTCTCTCTCCTCTATCTCTCCCTCCCTCTCTCCCTTCCTCTCTCTCCCTCTCTCCCTCTCTCATTGCATTCTATTCCTGATGGTGCATTTCGGGCTCTGCATTTCATTCCTGATGGTACTCTGGGCTCTGCATTTCATTCCTGATGGTGCTCTGGGCTCTGCATTTCATTCCTGATGGTGCTCTGGGCTCTGCATTTCATTCCTGATGGTGCTCTGGGCTCTGCATTCCATTCCTGAAGGTGCGCTGGCCCGCTAAGATGCTCCACACGCATATGTGGGCCCAGGGCTTCATCACAGTTCACGTCACACCAGCAGGAATAAACTATTCCCCCCAAATTGCAAATTGGGAAGAAAGAGAAAGAGCGGAGATCGCCAAGCTTGGGGAGAGCCGCAGTGATCAAATCAAAACTTCCAACTTCTTTCCTTCATACAGAGGATGTTGCCAAACTTCACTCACCCAACGCCAGTGGACACCATTGGAAGCTGTCTTTTTCCTCAGAGCTGGAATTCCATCCTAACTCCTTATATCAAGACAAAAGTAAAATTGCCGAGGTAATTTCGCCCATCTTTCATCTCTGACTCCTTGCATATGTATTATTATTTTCTTCTTATTTTCTCTTTTTTTTCTCCTTTCAGTGGCAAGTTATTTCAGCTAAGTTTTGATTTTAATCATTTCCCCCATTCCTCACAAATTCAATGGAACACATTCATTTCATTTCATTTCATCATCCTGTTATTCGTCGATTGCCTCGAGCAGGCCCCAGTAACGTCTCCTTCATCCTAGCCCTGAGATTATATTCAAGGCTCCTTAGGAGAATGAGACCCATCATTGTTACTGGTATTTGGCATATTGGGGACGCCACGGGGAGTTTGCCAGACTCTGCCGGGTGGGTGGGCTACATTCGGTAGCCTGCCAGTTTGTCCAAAGTAGGAATGAGATAATAAGATGTCATAAAAAAAGTTCTGATAATGGAACACAGTAAATGATAAATCATTTTGTTTTTTTTTTCATTTTAAAAATCTCGCCTGCATGGCAGGGCCTGGCAAGCTCCCCATGACGTACTCGATATACCAAACACAGTAACAACAAAGTCTCCAATGGAGACGTTACTGGGCCTGCTCGAGCAAATCGATGATCAATGGGAGGGCCTTAAAAATGTTTATTCTTCCAATCGATGGACATGTAATATTTTTCCATTTTATTTTGTGTTCTATTTCTTTTAATAATGACTTAATTTTTTTTAAATTTTTATTAGTGAGACATCATGAGGTACAGTTGTAGGGGAGCATCATTTTATTCTTAAACCGAGTTGTAGAAAGCAAATCATTTCACAACGCTGTTTCAGCATGTCTGATGGGGGGGGGTCGTAAACTCTAAACAATAATTGTGCATCTTCTATCGAAACAATGTATCTAGCCAAAAGTAGATAGAGTTTTAACTAGAACTAATCTGCCTCACAGGAATTGGGAGGGGTGGGAGGTGGGGTTCTATTGGGGTTCGCAGTTAAAAATAAGTATTTGTAAAGGGAAATGTGTTTGATATTTACATGACTGAGACCTAAACCCGAAAGCTCTGTAACTTTTCCCACAGTGATTCAATAAAGAAATAAATTATAAAAAAAATATGGTATATTAGGAATGTTGTACAAATGATAATGGTTATTGCTATCATAATTACTTTACAGGTTTTTAATTTTTGTTTTGGTGTGGGGGGTATTTCACAAAACTGTAAGCTTTTCCAAAAGAAATAAAAGGAAGATGGACCTATTTAAAAAAAAACACAAAAAACAAGGGCTGGAGTGATAGCACAGCAGAGAAGGTGTTTGCCTTGCATGCGGCCCGACCCGGGTTCGATTCCCAGCATCCCAAAGGGTCCCCTAAGCACTGCCAGGAGTGATTCCTGAGTGCATCAGTCAGGAGTTACCCCTGTGCATCGCCAGGTGTGACCCAAAAAGCCAAAAAAAAAAAAAAATCAATGAAACACAGTAAATGATAAATAAGTCAGTTTTGGGGCTGGAGCGATAGCACAGCAGGGAGGGCGTTGGCCTTGCACGCGGCCGACCCAGGTTCGATCCCCGGCATCCCATAGGGTCCCCCGAGCACCGCCAGGAGTGATTCCTGAGTGCAGAGCCAGGAGTCTGCCCTGAGCATCGCCGGGTGGGACCCCAAAATAATTAAATAAATGAGTTAGTTTTGTCGGGGGGGGGGGGTGACCCTGGGCCTGTCCAGCAGCTCTGGACAGCAGGTGGATGCCGCTGAGGCCTCGGGTCACAGTGGCTCTCTTCTGGTGCCAGGCTATAGGACAGACGCTGGCGCCGAACTTGCTGACGGACTTCGTGTGGACGCTCCTGTTGAAACTTTCCCACTCGAAAGAGGCCATCTCCCGGGAGGCGGCCAGCATTCTGCTGCTGACCCTGGACAAGTACTCCCACAAAGTCCTCATGGTGAGCCCCTAAGCGCCCCGGGGACCGAGACTCCCCGGAGAGGTTCTCAAAGCATCTTCTCTCGTGGTAAGAGACAGCTAAGTGCGAACGTTCGTGGATAAGGTCCCTGTGGAAACGGCACCGTCGGGGCTGGAGCGATAGCACAGCGGGGAGGGCGTTTGCCTTACACGTTGGCCGACCCGGGTTCGATTCCCAGCATCCCATACGGTTCCCCCGAGCACCGCCAGGAGTGATTCCTGAGTGCAAAGCCAGGAGGAACCCCTGAGCATCACCGGGTGTGACCCAAAAAGAAAAAAAAAAAAAGGAAAAGAAAAGTCACTGTCGTAAGACCCTTGACCAATTTGTTCCAGAAAGCTCCTTCCTCATGCCCCTACTTCTTGCCATACTCGTCAAGCTGATTTGAATCCAGAGCCGCCTTTTTCTGTGGAATTCTTCACACCCAGAAAAAAGGTGTCGAGAATAATGTGCATAAAAAGGGATGCAATGACCAGCCACGGCAGACAGCCACGTCCATAGCAGACAGATTTTGTTTGTTTGTTTTACTTTTGGGGTCCTACCCAGCGATGCTCAGGGGTTACTCCTGGCTCTGTGCTCAGGAATTACTCCTGGCGATGCTCGGGGGACCCTATGGGATGCCGGGGATCAAGCCCAGGTCAGCCCCGGCAAGGCAAACGCCCTCCCCACTGCCCTATCACTCTGGCCCCAGAAAGCCCCTTTTAATTCACTTTTTTCTATTTTATTTTGCTTTTTTGGATCACACCCAGCGATGCTCAGGGCTGACTCCTGGCTCTGCACTCAGGAATCACTCCTGGCGGTGCTTGGAGGACCCTATAGGATGCTGGGAATCGAACCCGGGTCGGCCACATGCAAGGCAAACGCCCTCCCTGCTGTGCTATCGCTCCAGCCCCCTGACTACATCATTTATGTGGATCCCCCCCTCCCCAATATAGTGGAGCTTCTTATTTTAAAGATTAAAAAAAAAACAAAACTAGTGTCCGGGTGTGTGTCGTGTTCCAGGGCTGGGCGGGGAAGTGGCCGTAGAACCGGGTCCCCCTGGTGCAAACGGCTTGTTGGCAGGTGGCCAGGATCGTGGACACGCTCTACAACCAGCTGTTCGAGACGTCCTCGACCCTCCTGAAGGACGCCATGCTCCAGGTCATCACCCTGCTGACACGCACCTCGCCCAAGAAGATCATCTTCAAGCTGATGGATTGGCCAGTCCCCGCGGACAAGTAAGGGCCAGTGCCACTCGCTGGACGTGGGCCAAAGCTGGTCATCCCGCGATGCTGGGTCAATCCGGCGAGGTTCAGGGGGTTCCTCCTGGCTCGGCACTCGGGAATTACTCATGGACGGACTATCTGTGCCTGCCCCAGCTGACTTTCACTGATTTTATTTGCTCGAGCGGGCACCAGTAACGTCTCACAACAAATTGTGAGACTCGTGACTGTGTTTGGCATATCGAATACGTCACGGGGAGCTTACTGGGCTCTGCCGTGCGGGCCAGATACTCTTGGTCACTTGCTGGGCTCTCCAAGCGGGGTGGAGGAATCGAACCTGGGTCAGCCACATGCAAGGCAAACGCCCTACCCACTGTGCTATCTCTCCAGCCCTTATACCACTACCACTGCCCTCCGTTGTTCATCGATTTGCTCAAGTGGGCCCAGTAACGTCTCCATCATGAGACTTGTTGTTACTGTGTTTGGCATATCGAATACATCATGGGGAGTTTGCCAGGCTCTGCCATGCGGGCGAGATGTTCTTGGTCTCTTGCCGGGCTCTCCGAAAGGGGTGGAGGAATCGAACCCGGGTCAGCCACGTGCAAGGCAAACACCCTCCCCGCTGTGCTACTACTCCAGCACCAGCTGACTTAGCAAAGCAAAATGCTTTCATTGTTCTTGTTTTTTTTTAAAAAAAAAAAAAGGAGGGGAGCATCTATTCTGGCATGTAGGGGTCCCCTGCAAGGCTCCAGTAAGAGTCCAGGCTCCCGTGCTCCATGGGCAGTGCCCAGCACGCTGCCAAGATACTGTCTGCCGTTGGGGGTCCCTGCAAGCCTCCCCACAGCCCACAGAGGGGTCATCGCCAGCCAGGACCAAACTGTCCAAGTGTTCCTGATTTCTGGAGGACACGTGGGAGATTATTTGGGGCCAGAGGGGTGGGGAGAATTCGTTCCTTCAAGAAGCAGAGGGCACCCCGTGCCCAGGCAAAGCCCCGAGTTCCGTCCCTGGCCTGGCCTGGCCCCCAGATATCCCTCCACCCCGGGTACGACCCAGCGGTGCCAGGAGCTGCCTGGACGGAAACAGATTGCCACCTACAGACGGGATCACTGAACATTCTAGACCCAATCTCCAGGCCCCTAAACTGTTCATGGTCCAGCGTCACAGTCAAAACGTAGGAAAGGAAGAAACCCCTGGTGTGAGTGTGGGGGTCAATGGGCATCCGTCCAGCCCCAGGGACACAACCACATCCCTGGTCCGAACAGGGACATGGAAGGGGACCTTGCGGGCCCCAGGGGAGCCTCCCAAAGGCCAGAGCAGCCGGCGGGGACTGGCGGAGACTCTGGGGCCTGCCCAGCTGTGGACACGCAGAGCCGTGCCACCGTGGGGGGATTGTGGTGTGTTGGCAGGACCCTGATCATGATGTGGCAGGCGGCGGGCTCCGAGGCCAGCACGGCGGCCCAGGTCCTCAAGACCATCCTGCTGATCCTCAAGGGCAAGCCCGGGGAACTGCAGGATAGCATGCTGGAGAAGAGACGCTTCTCCATCGACACCAGCAACATGATGCCAGTGACGGTGAGTGGCTGGGGGCGGGGGGCAAACCTGCAGTGTCCTGGAATGGGGGGCAGAGCTACAGTGTCCTGGGATGAGGAGGAGGCAGAGCTACAGTGTCCTGGGGTGGGGGGCAGAGCTGCAGTGTCCTGGGGTGGGGGGCAGAGCTGCAGTGTCCTGGGGTGGGGGGCAGAGCGGCAGTGTCCTGGGGTGAGGGACAGAGCTGCAGTGTCCTGGGATGAGGAGGAGGCAGAGCTGCAGTGTCCTGGGATGAGGAGGCAGAGCTGCAGTGTCCTGGGATGGGAGGCAGAGCTGCAGTGTCCTGGGGTGGGGGGCAGAGCTGCAGTGTCCTGGGGTGGGGGGCAGAGCTGCAGTGTCCTGGGGTGGGGGGCAGAGCTGCAGTGTCCTGGGGTGGGGGGCAGAGCGGCAGTGTCCTGGGGTGAGGGACAGAGCTGCAGTGTCCTGGGATGGGGGGGGGGGGGGTGGCGAGCCGCAGTGTCTTGGGGCAGAAGCAGGCTTCATGGTGCAGAGTGGAGGGGACGAGGGGGGTCCAGGGGGCTGCGGGTCAGGATGGGCCCCTGTGCTGGTGGGATACACGAGCTGAGACCTGAAGGAGGAGACGGGAAGCGGGGACGGGGACTCTGCAGACACGCAAAGAGCACGGGCCCCCGGCCCCATCCACCCTCCCCCAGGCATGCCAGGCCCTGTGCACGCTGCTGCCCGTGGCCTCCTACAAGAAGGCGGTGGCGCAGCTGTTCCCCGAGCTCCTCATGGCCGTCCTGCTCCAGATCTACTATGACAGCGAGCTGAAGCTGTCCAAAGACCAGAAACCCAGGTGAGAGGCGCGGTGTGCCCGGGAGGGGCGTGGCCACACCGAAGCTCCACCCCGCTGGAGGGGCGTGGCCACAGCAGCTCCAGGCCGCGGGAGGGAGGCGTGGTCATGCAGAAGCCCCACCCCTACAGGCGTGGCCACACAGAAACTCCCCCCATGGAGGGAGGCGTGGCCACAGCAGCTCCACCCCTGCAGGAGGGAGGCGTGACCACACAGAAGCTTCACACCCCACCCTGCGGGAGGGGCGTGGCTACACAGAAGCTCCACCCCTGAAAGAGGGGCGTGGCCACACAGAAGCTCCACCCCCACGGGGGAGGCATGGCCACAGCAACTTCACCAACATTGGAGGGAGGCGTGGCCACACAGAAGCTCCACCCCACGTGAGGGGCGTGGCCACACAGAAGCTCCACCCTCATGGGGGGAGGCATTGGCCACAGCAACTTCACCAACATTGGGGGGAGGCGTGGCCACACAGAAGCTCTACCCCACGTGAGGGGCGTGTCCACACAGAAGCCCCACCCATACGGAAGGGGGTGTGGCCACAGCAACTCCACCAATATTGAAGGGAGGCGTGGCCACACAGAAGCTCCACCCCTACGGGAGGGAGGTGTGGCCACAGAAACTACCAATATTGGATGAAGGCGTGGCCACACAGAAGCTCCACCCCCACGGGGGAGGCATGGCCACAGCAACTTCACCAACATTGGAGGGAGGCGTGGCCACACAGAAGCTCCACCCCACGTGAGGGGCGTGGCCACACAGAAGCTCCACCCTCATGGGGGGAGGCATTGGCCACAGCAACTTCACCAACATTGGGGGGAGGCGTGGCCACACAGAAGCTCTACCCCACGTGAGGGGCGTGTCCACACAGAAGCCCCACCCATACGGAAGGGGGTGTGGCCACAGCAACTCCACCAATATTGGAGGGAGGCGTGGCCACACAGAAGCTCCACCCCTACGGGAGGGAGGTGTGGCCACAGAAACTACCAATATTGGATGAAGGCGTGGCCACACAGAAGCTCCACCCCCATACGAGGGGTGTGGCCACACAGAAGCTCCACCCCTACGGGAGGGAGGTGTGGCCAAAGCAACCACCAGTATTGGAGGGAGGCGTGACCACACAGAAGCTCCACCCCACGTGAGGGGCATGGCCACACAGAAGCTCCACCCCTATGGGAGAGAGGTGTGGCCACAACTCCACCAACATTGGAGGGAGGCGTGGCCACACAGAAGCGCCACCCCTACGGGAGGGAGGCGTGACCAAAGCAACCACCAGTATTGGAGGGAGGTGTGGCCACACAGAAGCTCCACCCCTACAGGAGGGAGGCGTGGCCACAGCAACTCCACCAACATTGGAGGGAGGCGTGGCCACACAGAAGCTCCACCCTTATGGAGAGGGCGTGGCCACGCAGAAGCCCCACCCCTGGAGGGCGTGGCCACAGCAGCTTGCACACTCTCCACTCCCCACCTACCCAAGCATCCCACCTGGCCCTCCCAGCCTCCTCCGAAAGCACCTTGGGGTGGGCGTGGCACAGGCAGGACCCAGGGCAACCAGATTCGCGTCCCCAGCGTGCTCAGTGCTCAGCTGGGGCTGTGGACAGGCCCTGTGTCCCTAGGCAGATGGCGAGGCTCTGCTGGGCACTGCTGTTGCCATGGGGAGCCCCCCGCCCATCTCCTCCACGCGGACACGGTGGTCTCCCTCTTCCCCCAGCCGCGAGCCCTGCTCCGCGGTGGGGTGAGAGAGGGCAGCCCCCCGTGCATGCCCCAAGTCTGGCCCCCGTGCGCGCTGACGCTGGGGCTGTCTGGGGCGCGCAGCTACGCGCAGGAGGCGCTCAGGGTCCTCCTGAATTGCTCCGGGCTCCAGGAGGTGGAAGTGAGCCTGAAGAAGAAGAACTGCTGGATCCAGTTCTCCGAGGTCATGTACCACCACCACGGGGTCTACCTGGTGGCCAAGTAAGAAGGGGAGAGGCGGGGGGGGGGGGCTGTGGAGGCTCCTGAGCTGAACCCCACCTTCCCCCCACCTTTCCTGGTTCCCAGAATTCGCCTGGGGAGGGTCTGCTCTACACTCCTACCAGCCCTCCACAAAAGGGGCAGGTCTGGGGGGGCTGGAGAGAGAGCACAGCGGGGGAAGGGCGTTTGCCTTGCACGCGGCCACCCCGGGTTCGATTCCCGGCATCCCATAGGGTCCCCATGCCCCTCCAGGAGTGATTCCTGAGTGCAGAGCCAGGAGTGACCCCTGAGCATCCCCGGGTGTGACCCAAAAAGCAAAATAAAAGGGGAGGGACAGATTTCGTTAGCAATGCAGGGAGCGCAGACACCAATCTGGGGGTCCTGCAGGGGCTGGGGGTAGGAACCAGGCAGAGCAGGGGTTTACCCTGCAGAATCAAGGGGAGGGGGTCTGGGTAGGGCATCGGCTCGAAGTGTTGAGCTGTTTCAGTGGAGGTGGCGGGCGTCTGGGCGTCGGTGGGTGGGCAGGCTTGGGGCGGTCCCACTCTGTGAGCGTGTGGAACTGGGGCTCATGGAGGGATGCGGGGGGCTTCAGCCTACTGAGCCCCCCACCCCCTGTCTGTCCTCTGCAGCCTGGGTGCAGGCAGCAGCACCCCTCGCCTGGTCCCACAGGAACTGTCTTCCCGACACCGCTCCACGGGCCGAGCGTGGCCCCCCGATGTCCAGACCGGGGCCAGGATGCCCCGGGGGCCCAGAGACATTGACCCTCGAGGTCCTCAGCTGGACTCAGTGTCCCACTTCCCACCTCGCACCCAAGCTTCCAGGCCGGGCGGTTGCAGACTCAGGGCGAAGGGATGCTGACAGGCACCAGAGCCTGGTGTGGCTCACGGGCTGCCTTGGGATTCTCCCCGCAGGACACTCAGCGAGTATAACTTCCCCCAGTTCCCACAGACCTTGTACTATCTCTACAAGACCTCCGTGGAAGGTACCAGAAGGGCAGAAGATACCGTCATCACAATGACCTTCCTTACGGAAGTGAGTCTTGTGAGGACCGAGGGGGTTGGGGGTGGGGGTGATGGAGTGATAGCACAGCCAGGAGGCATTCGCCTGGCATGCGTCTGACCCGGGTTCGATTCCCCGCATCCCATAAGGTCTCCCGAGCACCGCCAGGAGTGATTCCTGAGTGCAGAGCCAGGGGTCAGCCCTGAGCATCGCCGGCTGTGACTCAAAACTAAAAATAAAAACACAGAAACAAGGGAATGGTCAGCATGTCAGCCCCTGCCTTGTATCCAAATTTATGTCCCCACTTGAATCTTTCTCTCCCTTCCTCTCTCTCCCTCTCACTCCCCCTCCCTCTCTCTTCTTCTCCCTCTCTTTTTCTCTCTCTCCCTCTCCATCCCTCCCTTCCTCTCTCTCCCTCTCTTTCTCTCTCTTTCTCCTCTGTCCTCTCTTCTTTCTCTCTCTCTCTCTCTCTCTCTCTCTCTCTCTCTCTCTCTGACTCTGCTAAGAGAAGTGGGTGGCTGTTGTCACTGTCTGCAGCAGGGGGTGGCCTGCGTCACTCCCTGGAAGACAGGATTTGCAGATACTGCAGTCTTTTTGTGGGACCAGATCATAAGCCGTGGTAAGCTTTTTAAAGTGCAGGAGGAGGAACATACACAGGATTACTGGTTAAACGAGAGCTTTAAATGACGTCTAGAGACATCACTGTCACTGTCACGGTCCTCCCCGCTGTTCATCGATTTGCTCGAGCGGGCCCAGTAGCGTCTCCATTGTGAGGCTTGTTGTGACTGTGTTTTGCATATTGAATACGTCACGGGGAGCTTGCCAGGCTCTGCCGTGTGGGCGAGTTACTCTCGGTAGCTTGCTGGGCTCTCTGAGAGGGGCGGAGGAATCGAACCTGGGTCGGCCAGGTCGACTGAGTGCAAGGCAAATGCCCTACCGCTGTGCTATCGCTCATGCAGGACTATGTTCCTTGGCACCGGAAAGGCAAACCCTACACAGTAACACCCTCACCAATGGAGGAATTTAAGGAAGTTGGCCTTTTGCCTCCCAAAGGCGTGTGGAATTGGGCTGAAGAGAGGGCCCCGTGGAACACAGCACCTGCTTGGCACACAGGAGGCCCAGACATGTTCCCCATTATTGCATAGTTCCTGGAGCATTAATAATAAGTTATTATTAACAACCACCATGCTGAGACCACTCTCCACACGCATGAAGGTACTGGCAGAGGAACAGAGGCACGCGGGTCCCGGGGCTGAGATCTCTAAGCCTGCTCAGATCGGGGCTGAGCATCCTCCACCCAGATCCTCCAAATTCCAGTAGGCAGGGGTCACACCCACCAGCTGCCCCCTGGCGCCGTGTAATCCCATCAACGGCCAAGACCCAGAGACTATAAAACCCAGCTCCCGGAAGCGCGTGGCCGCAAACGCGGCCACACGACATCTTATTATCTCATTCCTACTTTGGACAAACTGGCAGGCTACCGAATGTAACCTGCCCACACGGCAGAGTCTGGCAAAGTCCCCGTGTCGGACCCAATATGCCAAATACCAGTAACAATGATGGGTCTCATTCTCCCAACCCTGGAGGAGCCTTGAATATGGCACTTTTTAAAAAAAATCTCGGGGCTAACATGAAGGAGACGTTACTGGGGCCTGCTCGAGGCAATCGACGAACAACAGGATGGTCGTGATCGTGATCGTGATCCTGGAGCACTTGCAGGAGTAACCCCTGAGCACTAAGCAGAGAGTATCCCAGAGCACAGCTGGGTGTGGTCCCAAGTAACTATATACGCAACGTGTAGCTGTAACTATAAATACAGGTGTGTGCCATTGGTCTGGGTTGAACATACTTGCTTGTATTCTCCTATATATGGGCTTCAATGGCTCCAGAATGAAATACAACAACCTTCACACACTTCCCTCTTCTTGTGGTGGGAAGGTGCTCGGTGGTGGGGTGGGTGTGTGAATATTATCTGTAAGGAACTATTGTGAACTAGTTTATGAAAATAAGATACATAAAAATTGAAAAATAAGGGGCTGGAGCGATAGCACAGGGTGTAGGGCGTTTGCCTTGCACGCAGCTGACCCGGGTTCGATCCCCGGCATCCCCTAGGGTCCCCCAAGCGCTGCCAGGAGTGATTCCTGAGTGCTGAGCCAGGAGGAACCCCTGAGCATGGCTGGGTGTGACCCGAAAAGCAAAAAAAAAAAAAGAAAATTGAAAAATAAATATAGATGTGTATATCACACACACACACACACACACACACACGACCCTTTCATCCCTCTTGTAAGTACCCTCTCTGCAGAGTATGCACAGAGGAAGGTTCTAGAATCTTCGAGTGGGGCTGGAGTGGCAATACCTTGCATGCGGCCGACCCAGGTTCGATTCCCAGCACCCTGTAGGGTCCCCCAAGCACAGCCAGGAGGAATTCCTGCGTGCAGAGCCAGGAGGAACCCCTGTGCAATGCCAGGTGTGACCCAAAACGCAAATAAATAAATAAATAGGATCTTCAAGTGGCACATTATTCTCATCGTCCTGGAAACGCCTTGATCGTGGATCCCTCCCTGTCTTCTTCCAGCTCCTGAATAACTACTTCAAGGACCCATTCCCAGAGGAATTTCTGGTCCTCTACCGGAACTGGATGGGAGACCCCAGCCCCGTCGTGTGTATGCTAAGCCTTCAGAAAATCGGCAGCATGGCGTCATTCATCAATGAGGTGAGCCATGCCTGGTGGCCGGGTGGGGTCCAGCACCCAACCCAGGTCCGGGGATTCAGTTCTGCTTGTGGACCAATGAGGTCCTTCTCCATGATGCTGAAGCCTTGGGGCTGGTACAATAGCACAGCGGTGGGGCGCTGGCCTTGCACGTGGTTGACCTGGGTTCGATCCCCAGCATCCCATAGGGTCCCCTGAGCACTGCCAGGGGGTAATTCCTGAGTGCAGAGCCAGAAGTGACCCCTGTGCATTGCAGGGTGTGACCCAAAAAGAAAAAAAAAACAACCCCGACCTTATTATTGGGTTGGAGCAATAGCACAGCAGCTGGCCTGGCCGAGCCGGGTTCGATTCCTCCACCCCTCTCGGAGAGCCCGGCAAGCTACCGAGAGTATCTCGCCCGCACAGCAAAGCCTGGCAAGCTCCCCGGGATCATATTTGATATGCCACAGTAACAAGTCTCACAATGTTACTGGACCCGCTCGAGCAAATCGATGAACAACGGGAGGACTGTGACCGTGACCATGACCGCCAAACTCCAAGACTCTTACAGACTAAGGCACGGGCAACACACACATCTATATGGACATTAATTCTTGGTGGCATGCAGAACACTCGCCTAGCATGCAAGAAGCCTTGAGTGGGGCTGGAGCGATAGCACAGCGGGGAGGGTGTTTGCCTTGCACGCGGCCGACCTGGGTTCAATCCCCAGCATCCCATAGGGTCCCCCAAGCACTGCCAGGAGTGATTCCTGAGTGCATGAGCCAGGAGGAACCCCTGAGCACCGCCGGTGTGATCCAAAAAGCCAAAAAACAAAAAGACTTTTGCATTTAGAAGAATAAAATCAATGACTGGATCAATAGCACAGCAGAGAGGGTTTGTGCCCAGCACATGGCTGACCGGGGTTCGATCCCCGGCATCCATAGGGTCCCCTGAGCACCGCCAGGAGTGATTCCTGAGTGCAGAGCCAGGAGTCAACAGTAAGCGTCGCCGGATGGGACCCGAAAAGCCAAATACAACACCCCCCCCCCAAAAAAAGGCCTTGAGTATGGCTTTGGCACGGCAAAATTAATAATAATAATAATAATAAATGAAATGAAATTATGAACACTTTATTCGGCATTGTCTTTCTCCAATACCGACTCGCAATCCGCTCGTTCCAATGACCAGCACGGGTTGCTTTCATGGAATTTCCTGATGGCTTCCAGGACCCCGTTCTGCAGGGCCTCCCCCGACTCCAGCGATGGTTCCACGGGTGACTTGAGTGGGCCCCTCTGATGGTGCCCCAGTGCCTCCCATAAGTGCTCCTTGTCTTCCAGGAAGAGGGGGTCTACACCTCCCCCAAATGTTTGGCCGTGCTATTCGATTCCAAAGCCGCAGGCCCCAGACGGAGCGTGCGGGTGTAAATCGGGTCCCTCCCTCCGGCCTCTTCCCTGCCAGGTCAATCTCTGCCCAGGCCACCATCTGCCATGCTCGGCTTGCCCAAAGCTGTCACACACTGGGGGCTGGAGTGATAGCACAGTGGGGAGGGCGTTGGCCTTGCACGCGGCCGACCCGGGTTCGATTCCCAGCATCCCATAGGGTCCCCCGAGCACCACCAGGAGTCATTCCTGAGTGCATGAGCCAGGAGGAACCCATGAGAATCACCAGGTATGACCTAAAAAGAAAATAAAAAAAAAAACAAAGAAAGAGCAAGGTGCCTTCCAAGGCAGGAAGCTCCCCTTCCCCCATCCCCACATCCCCAGGTCACACTTCTGGCCTGGGTCTGCCTCAGCCCCACCTTCTGGTGTTCAAACGCCGTGACAGGGGCTGGAGCGATAGCACAGCAGGGAGGGCGTTGGCCTGGCATGGAGCCGACCCGGGTTCGATTCCCGGCATCCCATAGGGTCCCCCGAGCACTGCCAGGAGTCATTCCTGAGTGCAGAGCCAGGAGGAACCCCTGAGCATCGCTGGGTGTGACACCCCCCTAATAAAAACGGGCAGACTCGGTTCCTTTGAGTCCCCAAACTCACTTCCTTCCTCCTGTTGTGTGTGTGTGTGTGTGTGTGTGTGTTTGTACATGGACAGGTAGAAAATGTCCACGACCTGCTGATGTCCACCCTGGGCACCTTCTTTTCCAAACACAAGTCGGTCAGTCTCCGAGGCATGCTCACCCTCCGCCGACTTTTAAGCAAGCTGGACAGAGTCACCTATTCCTCCATGTGTATCAAGATTGCGCCTAACTACTATCCTCTGATGAGACACGTGAGCGCGCCCCGGATGCAGGGGTGGCGGGGAGGGTGGCGTTGGGGGGGGGCCCTCTCATCCCGCCGGACCCCAGCTTAGTGCTCCCATGGGGTGCATTTCTTTTTATCTTTTTCTTCTTTTCGTTTTTCTTTTTGGGTCCCACCCGGTGATGCTCAGGGGTTCCTCCCGGCTCTGCACTCAGGAATCACTCCTGGCGGTGCTCGGGGGACCCTAGGGGGTGCCGGGGATCGAACCCGGGTCGGCTGCATGCAAGGCCAACGCCCTACCTGCAGTGCTATTGCTCCAACCTATCTTTTATTTTAAATTATTATTTTCTTTCTTTTTTGGGTCACACCCAGCAATGCACAGAGGTTCCTCCTGACTCTGCACTCAGGAATCACTCCTGGGGGTGCTCATGGGACCCTATGGGATGCCGGGGATCGAACCCAGGTTGGCCGTGTGCCAGGCCAACGCCCTCCCCGCTGTGCTGTCGCTCCGGCCCCCACAGCAATGCCCCCATTTCTTTCCTGAGACAATAATATGAGTCAAACAAGACTGGTGTTATTTATTTTTTTTAACTACACCCAGAGGATCTAGGAAAATAAAAAGATTTTTTTCTAGGAAAAAAAAAAGTCTTCCATAAAAAAAATCTGCCCATTCAAAAACTTTTTTTTTGTTTTTTATAATGGCAAGTTTTGATGTGGGTTTTTTTTTTTTTTATTAGTGATAGCACAGCGGGTAGGGCGTTCGCCTTACAAGCGGCCAACATGGCCGACCCGAGTTCGATTCCTCTGCCCCTCTCGGAGAGCCCAGCAAGCTACCGAGAGTATTCGATATGCCAGACACAGTAACAACAAAGTCTCCAATGGAGACGTTACTGGGCCCGCTCGAGCAAATTGACGATCAACGGGAGGGCCTTTACTTTACTTTACTTACTTAGTGAAACACCATGAGGTACAGTTGTAGACTTACAAATTTTTGTACTTGGCTTTCAGTCATACAATGATAGAGGACCCATCCCTCCACCAGTGCCCATTTCCCACCACCACGGATCCCAGTATCCCTCCCACCCCACCCCCATCCCCCCATCCCACCCCGCCTCTGTGGTAGGACATTCCCTTTTGTTCTCTCTCTCCTTTTGGGTGCTGTGGTTTGCAAAAGAGACACTGAGTGGCAATCATGTTCAGTCTATAGTCTACTCTCATCACGCATGTGTTTTTGTTTTGTTTTGTTTTTTGTTTATTTTTTAATGGGTCCCGGGCCAGAGAGATGGTACAGGAGATGTTTTGTTCCCATGCTCCCCTAGAGGTCACTGCAGGGTCCAGAGCCAGGAATAGGCAGATGGAGAAAACGTCCAGTCGCTAGACACTTGCCTTGCACCTGGTCAATCAGGGCTCGATCCCCGGCATCCCACTGGGTCCCCCGAGCACTGCCCAGAGTGATCTCTGAGCACAGAGCCGGGAGTCAGCCCCGAGCACAGAGCCAGGAGTCAGTCCTGAGCACAGAGCCGGGACTGATCCCTGAGCACAGAGCTAAGAGGAAACCCCTGAGCACCGCTGGGTGTGACCCCCATTCTCCACCTCTCCTCCACACACAAGAAACTTATTTCTCATAGTCCAAGGGAATCTCTTCGAAGAATAAATAATAATGTGTGGTCCAGAGAGTAGACAGACAGATTGGCAGCGTAGAGGCAAGACAGGGAGGTGGGTGGGGGCAGAAAGAAGGAGAGACAGAGCAAGAGAGAGACAGACAAAGAGACAGAGAGAGTAAGATTCAACAGGCGAGAGACAGAGTGAGTGAGAGACAGAGCAAGAGAGAGAGAGAGAGTGCGAGAGCAAGACAGAGAGGGGAGACGATGAGAGAGTGAGTGAGAGAGAGGAGAAAGAGAGGGAGAGAGGACTGAGGGGCAGAGAGGGTGAGAGGGAGAAGGTAAGAGAGGGTCTGAGAGGAAAAGGGTGAGGGAGAGGGTGAGAGAGAGGGTGACAGTGAAGGGGGGAGAGACGGGGAGAGGGAGGGGGAGACAGGGAGACAGAGAGGGTGAGAGAGAGTGGGAGGGAGGCTGAGGAAGAGAGGCTGAGGGAGAAGAGGCTGAGGGAGAGAGGCCGAGAGAGGCTGGGAGAGAGACTGAGGGGGAGAGGCTGAGGGAGAGAGAGACTGAGGGGGAGAGAGGCTGAGGGAGAGAGAGACTGAGGGGAAGAGAGGCTGACGGAGAGAGGCCGAGAGAGAGGGTGAGAGGCTGAGAGAGAGAGGCTGAGGGAGAGAGAAACTGAGGGGGAGGGAGGCTGAGGGAGAGAGGCTGAGAGAGAGAGGCTGAGGGAGAGGCTGAGGGAGTGGCTGACAGGGAGGCTGAGGGAAAGCGAGGCTGAGGGGGAGGCTGAGGAAGAGAGATGCTGAAGGAGAGAGGCTGAGGGAGAGAGGCCGAGAGAGGGTGAGAGGCTGACAGAGAGGCTGACGGGGAGAGAGGCTGTGAGAGAGAGGGGCTGAGGGAAAGAGGAGCTGAGGGGGAGACTGAGGGGGGGATGAGGGGGAGGCTGAGAGAGAGAGGCCGAGAGAGAGGGTGAGAGGCTGTGAGAGAGAGAGAGGCTGAGGGAGAGGCTGAGGGAGAGAGGCTGAGGGAGAGAGGCCGAGAGAGGCTGAGGGAGAGAGAGACTGAGGGGGAGAGAGGCTGAGGGAGAGAGGTTGAGAGAGAGAGAGAGGCTGAGGGAGTGGCTGACGGGGAGGCTGAGGAAGAGAGATGCTGAAGGAGAGAGGCTGAGGGAGAGAGGCCGAGAGAGAGTGAGAGGCTGAGAGAGAGAGGCTGAGGGGGAGGCTGAGGGAGAGAGGCCGAGAGAGAGGATGAGAGGCTGAGAGAGAGAGGCTGAGGGGGAGGCTGAGGGAGAGAGGCCGAGAGAGAGGGTGAGAGGCTGAGACAGAGAGAGGCTGAGGGAGAGGCTGAGGGAGAGAGGCCGAGAGAGGCTGAGGGAGAGAGAGACTGAGGGGGAGAGAGGCTGAGGGAGAGAGGCTGAGAGAGAGAGAGAGGCTGAGGGAGTGACTGACGGGGAGACTGAGGGAAAGAGAGGCTGAGGGGGAGGCTGAGGAAGAGAGATGCTGAAGGAGAGAGGCTGAGGGAGAGAGGCTGAGGGAGAGAGGCTGAGAGAGGCTGAGGGAGAGAGAGACTGAGGGGGAGAGAGGCTGAGGGAGAGAGGCTGGGAGAGAGAGGCTGAGGGGGAGGCAGAGGGGGAGGCTGGGGGAGAGGCGGGGGAGGGGAGCCCGCCAGCAGCCGTGGGTGCCGCCTTGCAGAGGAGCACTGGCATCCGGAGCATGGCCATCCAGCATCTGGGGGACCTGCTTCTGGAGATGAGCCAGTACAACTGGATGCTCAACAACGTGGTCCTGGACGGGCTGGTACCTGTGGTCCTCTTCCTGGAGGACACCGAGATCGAGGTGGTCCGAGTACGTGCCCGGGACGGGGGGGGGGGGGCGGCGGGGCGGGGGCGGGGGTCGAGCCCTCACAGCCCCCTGCGCCCAGGCCTGCAAGTTCACCCTGCGGAACTGCGCCCAGGCCATGCACTGGACCCTGGGCGACGTGCTCGAGGACGAACACTACGATTACCAGCTGGTGGTGCTCACCGTCTGCAACAACTGCGTGAGCCCCGAGCACTGTGCCGGGAGGGCCGGGGGGGGGGGCTCTGGCGCTCATCCATGAGGCCAGAGGGCATAAGGGTGTCTGCTTCCTAGAGACCCTCAGGGCATCCCCGTTCCTAGAGCCCCTTGGGGCATCCGTTTCCTAGAGACTCTAAGGGCATCCATTTCCTAGAAATCCTGAGGGCGTCTCGGTTCCTAAAGACCCTGAGGGCGTCCCATTTCCTGGAGACCCTCAGGGCATCCTATTTCCAAAGACCATCAGGGCGTTCGTTTCCTAGAGACCCTCAGGGTATCCAATTTCCTAGAGACCCTCAGGGCATCCCTGTTTCCTAGAGACCCTGAGGGCGTCCCATTTCCTAGAGACCCTCAGGGCGTCCCATTTCCTAGAGACCCTCAGGGCGTCCCATTTCCTAGAGACCCTGAGGAGAGACCCTCAGGCCATCTGTTTCCTAGAGACCCTCAGGGAGTCCATTTCCTAGAGACCCTCAGGGCATCCCATTTCCAGAGACCATCAGGGCGTTTGTTTCCTAGAGACCCTGTGGGCATCCATTCCCTAGAGACCCTCAGGGAGTCCCATTTCCTAGAGACTCTGAGGGTGTCCATTTCCTTGAGATCCTGAGGGCATCCCATTTCCTAAAGACCCTGAGGGCGTCCCATTTCCTAGAGACCCTCAAGTTGTTCCATTTCCTAGAGACCCTCAGGGGAGGGAGGTCCCATTTCCAGAGACCATCAGGGCATCCGTTTCCTAGAGACCCTCAGGGCATCCCTGTTTCCTAGAGACTCTGAAGGCATCCATTTCCTAGAGACCCTGTGGGCATCCGTTTCCTAGAGACCCTGAGGGCGTCCCATTTCCTAGAGACCCTCAGGGCATCTGGTGCCCTAAAGACCCCCAGGGCATCTCATTTCCTAGAGACCCTGAGGGCGTCCATTTTCCAGAGACCCTCAGGTCGTCTGTTTCCTAGAGACCCTCAGGGCATCCCATTTCCAGAGACCATCAGGGCGTTCGTTTCCTAGAGACCCTCAAGGTGTCCCATTTCCTAGAGACCCTCAGGGCATCCAATTTCCTAGAGGCCCTCAGGGCATCCCTGTTTCCTAGAGACCCTGAAGGCTTCCATTTTCTAGAGACCCTGAGGGCATCCCGTTTTCTAAAGACCCTGAGGGCATCCTGTTTCCTAGAGCCCCTCAGGGTGTCCCATTTCCTAGAGACCCTCAGGGCGTCTGGTGCCCTAGAGACCCTCAGGGCATCTCATTTCCTAGAGACCCTGAAGGCTTCCATTTCCTAGTGACCCTGAGGGCATCCCATTTTCTAAAGACCCTGAGAGTATCTCGTTTCCTAGAGACCCTAAGGGTGTCCCATTTCCTAGAGACCCTGAGGGCATCCCATTTCCTAGAACCCCTGAGGGCACCCCCTTTCATCTTCCTCACTCTATCGGAGCCCACTTCCCCCTCAGGCCCTCTCCTTGGAGCTATGGATGGTGGAGGGCCAGGCAGGCCCTGATTCCAACCATCGCAGGAACAGGCGGGTGGGCCGACCTGTCCTCCTTGCTGTGAGGGAGAGCTGGGCTCAGCGTGGATCCGGGGGAGTGAGGCGGGGAGTGGGGGCAGTGTGAGCACCCTGACGGGTCAGTCCCCTGAGTTTCGACTGCACCCCTGTTCGGTCTGAGCCATCGAGGCCTCCCTCTCCCTCCATGTCCCCAGCTGGTTTCCAAGAGTAGTTACATCACCAACATGATCGGAGAGACACTGGGCTTCATGGGGAGCCCCCGTGACTACCTAAAGAAGGCGTCCATCATCCTCTTGGGTAAGGCCAATCCCCTGGCGTTTCCCCGAGGGAAGGGGGCCCGGAAAATGGGGGGGTGTGTCATCTGATGGAGCGGCACTGCCCACCAGGCTCACCAGCCTGGATGCAGCTAGAGCCAGCTCCAGGGTGGCCGGCCCTGGGTACCGGTCATCCAAGTATCCTCTGAGGCTGATTCGCCTGAACAAACTTCAGGATTGACACCTGTGGCCAGACCCTGTTCCCTCTCTGCTTCCCCGAGAGATCGGGACTCCGGGGCTGCTGAGGTCCCAGAAGGGTGAAGGGACCCGCCTGGCGCGTCCTCACTCGTCCTCCTCTCCCTCAGGGTACCTGGCCAAGCTGGGAAGCCACTTGCTGCTGAAAGACGAAATGGAAGTCATGCTGGAGGGTAAGGGGCGCTGGGGGGAAGATGGTCCATGGGATGGCTTAGCGCTCCCTCCCTCCCTCCCTCTCTCCCTCCCTCTTCCTCTCTCATTCCCTCTCTCCCTCTTCCCCTCCTGCCCTCTCTCTCCCTCTCTCCCTCTGTCTCTCTCTTACTGTCTCTCCAGTTCCTAGTGTATTTTTGTGCCTATTTCTTTTTTTTTCAATCAAATAACTGTGAAATGCAGTTACAAAATTGTTGGCAACTGGGTTTCAGTCATACAATGTCCCCACACCTGTTCCTTCACCAGTGCACACTTCCCTCCCAGTCTCTCTCCCACCATCTCTCTCTCTCTCTCTCTCTCTCTCTCGCTTTCGCTCTCGCTCTCATTCTCGCTCTCGCTCTCGCTCTGTGTGTGTGTGCAGAGCCAGGAGTTACCTCAGAGCATCACCAGGTGGGACCAAAAAAGTCAGGAAAAAAAAATGACAGATGAGGTGACACATTAGGGCTTGGATGCTTTGAGAACCTCAGGGATACGCCGTCTCCTCTCCAGAAGACTCGTACTCTCTCCCGACACTGGGCTTGTCGGGAATAATAGTTTCCTTTCTTAGTAGGAAATGGATGGAGCTGGGGACGGGGGAGGCATTCCTTTCGCTTCTTTTCTAGATAGTTCTAGAAAAGAAAGAGAGGAGAGGGAGAAGAAAGAGAAGGAAGAGGAAAGAAAGAAGAAAAGGGTTCGGGGGGGGGGGGGCTGGAGTGATAGCACAGCGGTAGGGCGTTTGCCTTGCGCGCAGCCAGCTTGGCCGAGCCAGGTTCGATTCCTCCGCCCCACTCGGAGAGCCTGGCAAGCTAACGAGAGTATCTCGCCCGCACGGCAGAGCCTGGCAAGCTCTCCGTGACGTCTTCGAGATGCCAAACACAGTAACAAGAAGTCTCACAATGGAGACGTTACTGGGCCCGCTCGAGCAAATGGATGAACAACGGGAGGACAGTGTTTTGTTTTTGGCTTGGGGGGAGGGGTCCCACCCGCGGTGCTGGGGGCTTATTCCTGGCTCTGCACTCAGGGATCACTGCAGACCCTACGGGATGCCGGGGATCAAACCCAGGTGGGCTGTATGCCAGGCCAGTGCCCTCCCTGCTGTGCTCTCTACCCAGCCCCTTCCGTCTGTTTTAGAAAAAAAAAAATGAACAGAGGCTTCTTGTTTTAGAACAATTTAGATGTCCAGCAAACCCCCAGGAGGACGGCATAACCGTTTCCCGTGCCCCCTGCCCCTCCCGCCCATTCTTCCCACGTGCCCTAAGTGGCTGCTTGATGACAGTCGTTGGAGGACATGGCTGGGTCCTGGGCAGCCCCCCTTGGCCTCCCACCCCCACGTGCCCCATGATTCCTCCTTGGCCATCCACTCCGTGCTGAACACTCACGTTCTCCTCCGAAACTCCAGAACCCTTTTCTTTCCTTTTTTTTTCTTTTGGGGTCACATCTGGAGATGCTCAGGGCTGACTTCTGGCTCTGCACTCAGGAATTACTCCTGGCGGTGCTCAGGGGACCATATGGGATGTCGGGAATTGAACCCGGGTCAGCCGAGTGCAAGGCAAACATCCTCCCCACTGAGCTATCGCTCCAGCACCCCCCACCACCGAACCCTTTTCTTCTTTCTTTCCTCTTCCTTCTCTTTCTTCTCCTCTCCTCTCTTTCTTTTCTAGAACTATCTAGAAAAGAAGCGAAAGGAATGCCTCCCCCGTCCCCAGCTCCATCCATTTCCTACTAAGAAAGGAAACTATTATTCCCGACAAGCCCAGTGTCGGGAGAGAGTACGAGTCTTCTGGAGAGGAGACGGCGTATCCCTGAGGTCCTCAAAGCATCCAAGCCCTAATGTGTCACCTCATCTGTCATTTTTTTCCTGGCTTTTTGGGTCCCACCCGGCGATGCTCAGGGCTGACTCCTGGTTCTGCACTCAGGAATCACTCCTGGCGGTGCTCGGGGGACCCTATGGGATGCTGGGAATCGAACCCGGGTCGGCCGTGTGCCAGGCCAACGCCCTCCCCACTGTGCTATCACTCCAGCCCCTAGTTTGCTTTTTATTTATTTATTTCTGGTTTTGGGATCACACTCAGCGATGCTCAGGGCTGACTCCTGGTTCTGCACTCAGGAATCACTCCTGGCGGTGTTCGGGGGACCCTATGGGATGCTGGGAATCGAACCCGGGTCGGCCGCGTGCCAGGCCAACGCCCTCCCTGCGGTGCTATCGCTCCAGCATTTCTCTTTTTGAAAAGCCTGGGGTGTTGGGGTGACTCCCAGGGGGTCGGGAGAAGGGTGACAGATCTGACAGATGGTGCGGGTGGGGAGGGGGGTTGCCCGGGGTCAGTCTGAGCCTCTTTGCCTGGGGGAGGGGGGCATGTGGGGGAGACAGACACGCTTTGAAGTAAAGGGTGGTTCCGCTTGCAGCCGTGGACCGGCTGCTCTGGGACCAGAACCCCGCCGTCCGGAACCTGGCCGAGCAGACCCATAGCATCTTCCAGGAGATCTCCCACAAGATCTCGTCCGGCTTCAAGCAGAACATCCGCCGGCTGTTCAATGTCATCTACGTCAAGAAGCTGAAGCTACTGTACAATGTGCCCGTCGAGGACCGCCCCGAGGGCAGGGAGGCCCCCACCAAAAAGATCTCGGAGGAGGAGATGGAAGGGGACTTGATCCCCAACCTCTGGGGCTCGGCCTTCTTCCAGCCTCTGGCAGCCCCTGAGACCGGGGCATTGGGGGATGCTGGACTGTCCCTCACTTCTCTCCTCCCCGACTGAACGCCCTGCCCACTGCCGGCGCACTTCAGGGACCCCCTCCAATAAAACGGGGACATTGCAGCAAGTCTGGGGGAGAAATTTGAGTGGGGGGGGGGGTCCTTCCTTGGAGGACCTTGGCCCAGCCTGAGAAGGCCCAAGAAGGTGGTCTGGAGCGATCCTGACTAGGGGGGACTCTGACCCAGGGCCATCTCGGCAGAGATTAGGCACCAGGAAGTCAAGCATAGATTGTGCAGGGCTGGAGTCATAGCACAGCGGGGAGGGCGTTGACCTGGCACGCGGCCGACCCGGGTTCGATCCCCAGCATCCCCTACGGTCCCCCGAGCACTGCCAGGAGTGATTCCTGAGTGCAGAGCCAGGAATCAGCCCTGAGCATTGCCAGGTGTGACCTAATCAGAATAAAAGAAAAAAAGAAAGAGAGAAAAAGAGGAAAAGGAAGGAAGGAAGGAAGGAAGGAAGGAAGGAAGGAAGGAAGGAAGGAAGGAAGGGTGGACAGATGGATGGATCGATGGATGGAAAGATGGTAGGATGGAAGGAAGGAAGGAAGGAAGGAAGGAAGGAAGGAAGGAAGGAAGGAAGGAGGAAGGCAGACAGGCAGGCTGGAATGATAGTCCAGTGGGTAGGGCGTTTGCCTTGCACGCAGCCGACCCAGGTTCAATTCCCGGCATCCCATAGGGTCCCCCGAGCACCGCCAGGAGCGATCCCTGAGCGCAGAGCCAGGAGTCAGCCCTGAGCATCACCAGGTGGGACCCAAAAAGAAAGCACTGCACTGTCCTCCTGTTGTTCATCAATTTGCTCAAGCGGGCCCAGTAACGTCTCCATTGTGAGACTTGTTACTGTGGTTTTTTTTTTGGCATATCGAATACGTCACGGGTAGCTTGCCAGGCTTTGCCATGTGAGCAAGATACTCTCGGTAGCTTGCCGGGCTCTCCAAGAGGGGCGGAGGAATTGAACCCGGGTCACCCGGGTCAGCTGCATGCAAGGTAAATGCCCTACCCACTGTGCTATCGCTCCAGCCTGACCCAAAAAGGAAAAAAAAAATTGGATTTTTCAGGAGGAACTATCCCACTTGCCCTAAAACTGTTCTGCCTAAGAGGGTTCCGATTCCAGGGCAAGGTTTTATGTTCTTTTCTGGATTTTGTGGGGGGTGGGGTGGGGGTGGGGGGAGGAGTTCTCAGAAGCCCTGTAGACCTCAGGAAATCTCTGGGTTTTCTCTTAAGAGCAGGAAATGGGTTGATGTAATGAACCGCTATCTTTTTTTCTTTCTTTTTTTTTTTTTTTTGCTTTTTGGGTCACACCCAGTGATGCTCAGGGGTTCCTCCTGGCTCTGCACTCAGGAATCACGCCTGGCGGTTCTCAGGGGACCCTATGGGCTGTTGGGGATCGAATCCAGGTCAGTTGCGTGCCAGGCCAACGCCTTCCCCGCTGTGCTATCACTCCAGCCCCTGAACCGGGCACTATCTTTGAACCTGATTCATCGCCTTGCCAAGGAAAGGGGCCAACGTGTACTTGACTTAGACTGAACTCATCCAGTAAACTCAGCTTTCATGCTCCCAAACTCATGGTTCTGGGCTTGGGTGGAGTTCTGTATGTTCTGGGGAGAAGAGATGAAAGAGCCTTTGAATCTGTCCCAGACTCTTCCGACGTCAAAAGGAAATGCAGTTCCCTGCCATGCCCGATCTCGTATTAACTGCACACACAGACACGGACCCATCTCAGACCCCCTGATTCCTCTCTGGGCGGGCCCCAGCCACGAGACCTTTTGATGTAACATCTTCACAAATTTCAGGCATTTCAAAACCGTCCTTTCTGTTGAAACAATACTTTTCACAGTGACCAGTGAAACGTGAGTTCCCTCCTCCTGCTGGCTTTAGGGAAACGGGAGGATAAACACAACTTATTGCGGAGGGGGGGGGGGGTTCTCCCAAATGTTATCAGCCATTGAAAGAAGGTCTGGGAAAGTGGCGACGGGATATGGCAGGAGAAGAAGCCACCTGAGAGTGCAGGCTTGCGATGCTGCAAGACCACCCAGTTCTTACCCAGTAATCACTCCTCCATGAATGAAAGGGCAGGACATAGTTCCAGGCACAGATGAAAGGTATTGGGGCTGGAGTGATAGCACAGCGGGGAGGGCATCTGCCTTGCACGCAGCTGACCCGGGTTCAATCCTCGACATCCCATAGGGTCCCCTGAGCACTGCCAGGAGTGATTCCTGACTGCAGAGCCAGGAGGAACTCCTGTGCATTGCCGGTGTGACCCAGAAAAAAAAAAAGAAGACACTGGGCATGCATGCTCTCCTGAGCTCAACCTTCCAGCACCCGAACCTTATTTGTTCTTTTGCCTCTTTAATATGGGCTGGAGCGATAGCACAGCGGTAGGGCGTTTGCCTTGCACGCAGCCAACACGGCCAACCCGAGTTCGATTCCTCCGCCCCTCTCGGAGAGCCCGGCAAGCTACCGAGAGTATCTCGCCCACACGGCAGAGCCTGGCAAGCTCCCCATGACGCATTTGATATGCCAAACACAGTAACAACTAGTCTCACAATGGAGATGTTACTGGGCCCGCCCAATGGGGTGGGGTCTGGGGCACCCCAAGGCCTGGACCTGAAGAGGCATCGTCAGCCCTCACTGACATGAGGTATGGGCACCAAAACTTTTTTGGATAATATGGCAACAGTGGCAGCAAAAATATAAATGACCTACAGGCCTGGCATCATTATGTTTAATTTATGGGAGAACCAAATTGGGATTTGATACCCCATAAGCTCCACCCCTAGCTCAATCAATATGGAAAATTATTCACCCCAGAAAAAGAGCAACAGCCTGAAACCCATGGGGCTGTTATTTCTGATATTTCTTTCTCTCTAATATGCTTCTCAGCTTTTTGTCAGATCCCGGTCCCCTTCTGACCTTGGGTTTGATGTAGGCAGGCAGGCAGAGAGGGAAGGCCCCCTCCCAGGGCAATGGCAGTAAATTTTCTGGGAAGTAATAGCCCTGACCTCATGGAGAACTGGTGCCAGTCTGTAACAGACCCTGAGGAGGCCGGACCCTCCTCCGGAAGAAACTGCAGCAGGAACAAGGGGTACTACATGGAAAGTATCATGCTAAGTGAAATGAGTCAGAAAGAGAGGGGTAGACATAGAAAGACTGCATTCATCTGGGGAACATAAAGTAACAAAATAGGAGACTAACACCCAAGAATAGCCGAGATAAGCACCAGGAGGTTTACTCCATGGCTTGGAGGCCAGCCACACATGCTGGGGGAAAAGGCAGCTCAGATAGAGAAGGGAGCACCAAATAAAGAGTGTTGGGAGGATCCTCCCAGGATGGGAAAAGCATGCTGAAAGTAGACTCTAGACCGAACATGATGGACACTCAATGCCTCTTTTGCAAACCACAGCACCCAAGAGGAGAGAGAGAACAAAGGGGAATGCCCAGTCACAGAGGCAGGGTGGGATGGGGGGATGGGGGGTGGGAGGGATACTGGGATCCGTGGTGGTGGGAAATGGGCACTGGTGGAGGGATGGGTATTTGATCATTGTATAATCGAAACCCAAGCACAAAAATTTGTAAGTCTACTACTGTACCTCATGGTGTTTCACTAATAAAAATTAAAAGAAAAAAAAAAGGCCAGGAAAGGAATTTCAAAAAAGACCATCACCACTCCCAACCCTTGGCAACCTCCTTAGCAACGGACTCTGACCTAGGTAAAGCGCCACATGGGGGCAGGTTGGAGGAACCCCATAAGATCACCTTGAACAAAGGAAGGGCACATATGCTGTCTGAGCCTAAGTGATGCTTGCGCCCACGTGACCGAGCACACATGTCACCCGCATCTCAGGTCCCTCTTGAGATGGGGACTTGCATGCTTTCCTGTCTAATGCTGGGGTGTGTGTAGGGCTCTGTGTCCTTGGAGAAGTCCGCGTTCTCTCTTGAGCATGTTCCTCTCTACTCTCTCTCCCTCCTTCCCTTCAACACCTCCAAATGAAATCTGTTTCACTTCAGTGCCCGTCTACTCCTGAAATTCCTTTCTGCGAGGCCAGACAAGAACCCAGTGACCCCTGGGTCCTGGTGGCAGAGGCGGATGGGGAGAAAGTGATTGTCTCTCTCCTCCCCGCTCACATGAGCCACCCGTGGGGCCCACTGACATCAGGTTCTTCCGGTGACACCCCTGCCCCGTTTGATTGGTTGGTACCCAAGTGTCACACAGTGCCCCCTTCACTGGCATGGTCTTTAATCTGGGTCCTCAAGTGGTGTTCATAAACATCACTTTAGGAAAGAAGATTCAACCCCCTTTACACCCCAGCAACCTTCACCTGCCCTGCTTAGGACCACCCACAATTGTACCATCCTCAGCAAAAATTCACAAGGCACTGAGCGAAGGTCAGGGTCAGGCAAGGTCCACAAGGGCCCCTGGTGCAGCTATGGACACTTTTTTCTGCTCTTAGAAGTTTACTTGCGAGACTCTGGGGCTGGAGCGATAGCAGAGCGGGTAGGGCATTTGCCTTGCACGCGGCCGATCCGGGTTCGATTCCCAGTACCCCATATGTGACTCCAAACAGAAAAAAAAAAGTTTACATGCGAGACTCAAGCCTTGTGAGACAAAAGGCCAAGGGAGGAATTAGCAAGAAATTTGAAGAACAGAGCTTCGTTGACTACGGATACTGAGCACCCAGTACCGTCTGAGCTACTCACTTGATCACTTGATCACTTGACTTCCTGTTAATCGTCGATTTGCTCGAGCGGGTGCCAGTAACGTCTCCATTTGTCCCTGTCGTGTGCTAGTGTAGCCCAATGGCATCTGTTCGCTCTAGGAACACGAAGAGCCTCAAACCGATCTTTCATGATCTTGACGAAGAAGTCTGACCATCTGGTAGGTGGGCGGCCACGCGGTCTTTTGACATCCCGTGGAATCCAGTCGGTAACAGCTCTAGTCCAGCGGTCGTCTTTAAATCTCATTACGTGACCAGCCCATCTGATTTTTGACACCTTGGCAAACGAGAC